TTTGGGTTTCAGTAATTCCTCTTGGTTACATTGCCCTTGATTAAGCCCTACCAGGTATCCTACGCCCTCCTCGCCATCGATTTTAGATCAATTGTTGTTCCCTTGTCCCTGGGTTTGTTAACACCCACTTCCTTTCCCCTGCCTCCCCTCTCCTGTGTCCCCCCAGAACTGTAGGCCCGTTGTTTTCTCCTCCAGATTGTTTATCCTGCCTATCTTATCTAGATAGACCTGCATAGACAGTAATAAGCACACACAAAAGAGCAAACCATCAAAAGAACAAAAAAAACCAATGACAAAAAAAAGAGAGAGAGAAAAGAAAAGCTTATAAATAGTTCCAGGTCTATTTGTTGACTTTTAGGAATGTTTTCCGGTCGAGTCTGATGGGGTGCCAGCCCTTGGCCCCAAAGTCTATTTTTGGTATTCCCCGGGGACTTCATTGCTTTGCTCCCCTTGCTGCTCTGCTGCACGCCCTTAGCATTTTGTCCTGGAGTGGTGGAGTCAGATGGGGCACAATTTCCGCACTGTGCCTACAGCATTGTCCCTCGAAGTGCAATGGTTCAGTGAGGGATGTCTTGTCTCATGGTGGGGCCGGTCTTATGGTCTTCTCTGTGCATTGGCTGCTCTGAGCGAGAATATCGTTCTCCGGGCTTGGTGGGCCAGGATGTGCTCCACTCTCTCTCCTTCCCTCTTCATTCGCTCCTGTGTGCTCTGACCAGACGCACCCCTCTCCCTGAGCTGTAGCTTCAATGCTGACCTTTGAAGTGAATTCTTCTCAGAAGGTTTTTACTGGCACCTCCCCACCTGGAGTCCTGGTTTTCCCAAGCCGCTCGGCTAGGATTTTTCCTTCAGTGCCCTGCCATCTCCTAATCCCTGAATTCAGTGGCCCCTCCCCTCTCCCTTCCCTATGTCAGTGCTCTGTCCTCAAGCCCCTGGTAGCGACTAAGGCCTGGCCCCCAAACAGAGCTTCAAACTCCTGGGGGTGCCTGGCTCCTTGGCTGGCCACTCCTCCCACCCTTTGTCCAGCAGCTCCTCTGAGTTCCAGGAACATTCCTGAGGGCTGTGTCCACCCACAGAGTCCACTCTGAGGGCTCTACCCCACTCCATGCCACCCCCCGCCCCCCAGGAGAGAAGACAAGGGCTCCAGACCCTATTTCTTCTGCCCCAAGCTTCCTCTGCCACCTCCCCAAACTTCGACAGGAGGACAATGAAGGCAACAGTGACTGCTTACCTGTGCCGGGCACTGTCCTCCGTCTCCTTAAACCCTCCCAACAGCCTGAAAGGTGCGTGCTGTTAGACCGCTCCGCCAAGACAAGGTCTGTCCTTTTAGATGATTGCTTGTTGAGTGAGTGAGTGAGTGAGTGAACAAATGAGTGAGTGAGTGAGTGAGTGAGTGAGTGAGTGAGTGAGTGAGTGAGTGAACAAATGAGTGAGTGAGTGAGTGAGTGAACAAATGAGTGAGTGAGTGAGTGAACAAATGAGTGAGTGAGTGACTGAGTGACTGAGTGACTGAGTGAGTGAGTAGATGTGTTGGATTCTGTGGGTCAAGAAGGGAGGGCCCAGGAACATGAAGGGAGTTGCTGAGCGTTTAGCCCAGGACTGAAGCTTACTCCTCCCAATGCTCTGCTGCCCCATGGGAGGCAGGCTCCGGGTGTCAGGGAGGGGAAACGGTGCCAGAGAGAGGAAGGCTCAAGGCTCGGGGGAAATGGGTCTGGGAGGGGAGAGAAAGGTTTCACAGCGGGGATGGCTAGGCATCAAAGAGTTGCCCTGGGTGTCTGGGGACGTGGCGAGTCTGTCAGCCCACAGCAGGACGTGGGATTTGCTATTTTTATCAAGGGACCACAGAGAGGAAGGCATGCGGGCTCAGGATAATTCTGAAGCAGAGCCGTGGTTTCAGAAATGAGAGTGGGGGTGGGGTGGGGGGCAGAGACAGCCTGGTGAGATGGCAGCTCACCCTGCTACATTCTCTCCGCTGTCCACATACAGCACCCCCGGTCCCTTTGCTTGCAGGACCCTGGCTCGTGTCTCCTGGCTGGGAAAGACGGACAGCTCACGCCCACTGAGACCAAGTGTCCCGGGCACCCCACTCTGTGCTTTTCTTCCCCCTCAGGTAAGGCAGCCCCCGAAGTGGACATTACTCACCTGTGAGACCATGTCTGTCTGTCTGTCTTTCAGGCCTGGAGAGGGACTGCTGTTGCACCCCTCGGTTATGTGGACCGCCCTGGTCCCACCACCCTGGGGCTGTGCCTGCCTATCTCCTCCCCTCCTGGGAGCTTGCACACCCCCCATTCGCCATGAGCTTCTGGGGGGTTCCCCCCTCCCTCTTGTGCAGAAGCAGCTCTTCATTTAGCCACATTGTCATCAGTGTGTGTGTGTGTGGGGGGGGGTGTCACTCTGGAAAGGCATGTAGGCGCTCCGGCTTGGGCCACCGACTCCCCAGCCCCCTTCATGGGCCTCCCTCCCGTGACACCCCCACACAGGGCTTTGTCAGGTCCTCTGGCCCAGGACTGCTGCTCAGGTTTCAGTCTGGGCCTCACCCCAGAAATGGCCAGAGAGCAGGGAGAAGCCCTCCTGCACTGGACGTCTTGCCCCTCCTCTCTCTAGTGCTGCAGGGCCAGCTCCCAACTCTCCCTGCCCTGCCTCCAAGCTGGCTACTGGGGGCAAGGAAGCCCCGGTTCTTTAGAGCCATTGTAACAGGCTGTCTCCCTCCTTTGGGCCTTGGGTTTGGGGCACTCCCTGCCAGCTCCCTCCGTTGATTTTCTTTGGAAAGGAGAAAGCAGCAGCTTGTGCTGAGAACCCCGACTCAGCCACGCCAGCGCTGTGTGACCCCTGTGCTTCATTCTCACAGGAAACACGGGAGCTCCCCCGCTCCCACCCCAGAGGCCTGTGGTGAAGAGGCCGTGGGAGGCATACGTAAGGCAGGGAGGCATGGGACCCCATGGGGAGGGCAGCCCCTGGGCTGGAATCCTGGCTTCCCTCCCGGCTAGCAAAGGCATCTCAGGTCAGTTGCTTCAACTCGCTCTCCCTTCAATGGGCTAGTTGTTCGCCTTCCTCACAGGGCTGCTGTCAGGAGCGGATAGCTCTTGGAGCAGGGGGAAGGAGGGGAAATGTGAATAACTCAATGATAACTGACTGCTGAGACCACCATTATCAAGGGGCGGTGGCGGGAGAAAGGAAAAGGGCTTCACACCAAAAGAAACAGACTTTGAAGGCTATGGGGAAATGGGAGGGAGGGCTGGGTGTCATTTCCACATAGGATACATTTTAAAGTTCTTAAATCTGTAAAGAAGTGATGGCTAACAAGGAGACCTGGCAGGTGGTGCGCTATGTGTTGGGCTGTTCACTGCAAGGTCAGCAGTTCCAACACACCAAGTGCTCCAAGGGAGAAAGAGGAGGCTGCAGCTCCCTTCATAATTCACAGTCTCAGAAATCCAGAGGATCAAGTCTGCTCTGTCCTGCAGGGTCTCTGGGAGTGGGACTCGGCTCAACAGCAGTGGGTTTGGTTTCAGTTTAACTGTATAAAGAAGGAGAAGCCCTGGCGGCAGTGGTTCAACGTGGGGCTACTAACTGCAAAGTCAGCGGTTCGAAACCACCAGCTCCTCTGCAGGAGAAAGACAGGGCTTTCTACTCCTGCAAAGAGGTACCATCTCGGAAACCCACAAGGGTAGTTCTAGGCTGTCCTGTAGGGTCACTGAGTTGGAGTGGACTCGACTGCAGTGAGTTTGGGGGTTGCTTTTGGAGTCACAACGAAGGAGTCCTCAGAGCACGGTGGGTTAGGCATTGGGCTAACTGCCCATCAGAGAACACTGAGGCTGTCTCTTCCCATAAATATTTACAGCCTCCGGATGGACTTCGAGCATCCGCTCAAGCCCTCCCTCAATGAAAGAACACTTTGGTTCTAACACCCTGGCATTCTGTGATGCTCACCCCCCTGACATGATCGCGGAAGACAAAATGGGTGCACAAGCAAATGTGGTGTAGAAAGTGGATGGAGCCTGGCTAATAAAAGATAGTGTCTGGGGTCTTAAAGGCTTGAAGTTAAACAAGCGGCCATCTAGCAGGGAAGCAATAAAGAAGCACCCCAGCCTGTACGATCATGAGATGTCGACAGGATTGGGTAAAAGGCATCAGAAGACCCAAAACAAACAAATAAAAAAACATATTGTTTGAGAATGAGGGGGGTCAGAGCAGAGACCCTGTGTTCGTCTGGGTACTTTAGAGAAACAAATCCACAGAAACTCATGTATAAGAGAGAGCTTTATATAAAGGTTAGGTGCGCATCAAGAAAACATCCCAACCCAGTGCTGCCCAAGCCCACAAGTCCAACATTAACCCATTAACCCATATGTCCAACACCAATCCACAAAATCCTCCTCCATCTCACAAAACAGACGTAATGATGCTGACTGCAGGAGGAAAGCCAGGTCAGTGACTGTGTAAACATCTCAGTGCTGGCAGGGGTCTCCATACGGGTGCTCCAGCACCCAGGGCTGCATCAGGGTAGGTCCATGTGGCTTCTCCTTGGGGATGTATTGCAGGAAGTCAGCCTTAAAAGCTGAAGCAGGGAACTGGCTAAGGCAGCTGCACCCTGGTGCGACCATCAGAAAGGAGGAGACCCAAGAACTAGAAAGGTGAGGCTCACCAAGCCATTTATCGCTCCACCCTTCAATTAACCCCACTTGTGTTTATTGGCCAGGTTGGCACAATCAATAAATTAACTAACTCAGGCCCCAAACCCATCTGTAGACAATGGAACATCACCTCACAGAAGGGCCACAAGGAAGGGATGAGTCAAGCAGGGAGCAGTAAAGCACTGATGAAACACACAATGCTCCTCTGGTTCCTTGAGGCCTCCTCACACACCCCCACCCCCTATCATGACCCCAGTCCTGCCTTTCACTGCGGGTTAGACTGGAGCATGTACACAAGTACAGATAAGAGATAAGAGCTCACAACACACGGAATTCAGGAATAGGAATGGGAGTAGCGATACCAGAAGGGTTGGGGAGAGGAGGGGAGGAAGGAAGAACCAATTGCAATGATCGACACATAACCACACATACTCCCTTCCAGGGGGACAAACAACAGAAACTATGGGGGAAGGGAGACTGCATTCAGTGTAAGATATGAAAATAATAATAATTTATAATTTATCAAGGGGTCATGAAGGTGGGGGGAGGGAAGCTGATCCCAAGGGCTCAATGGAAAGTAAGTGTCTAGAAAATAATGATGGCAACATATGTACAAATATGCTTGATATAATTGATGTATGGGTTGTTTTAAGAACTGTAAGAGCCCCCAATAAAATGATCTTTTAATTAAAAAAAGAAAATCATATATATATGTATATATATATGTACACACTTACAGTCTTGAAAACTCCATATCGGCAGTGCTGAGTCAATGGTAGACATCTATGCAGATGCCTCCCGTTTGATTCCCCTCTGTGCTCCTCATGCTCAGCCGCCAGCCGTCCCTGGAAGCTCTCGTATGACTGTGATGCTCAACAGGTCCCAGTGGAGCGTCCAGGCGAAGGCAGGCTCAGCAGAAAGGCCTAGTGACCCCTTTCTGAAAAGCAGCCAATGAAAACGTGGTGATCGGACCCACAGCCAATCATGGAGCTGGCCCCAGAGCTGGCGGTGCTGTTCCCATGGGTATGTGGTCCCCATGAGTCAGGGGCCGTTCGGTGGCACTGATGGACATCCTCACTCAGACACAGTGGTCGTGGTGCTAGTGGCTGCCAAGTGCGCTCCAGCCCACCGGGAACTTCTATGCTGCATGGAGTCCACTGTTGTCCCTGTCACTAGAACATGAGTGGTAGTGATTACTCTCCATGATGGGAATAAGGAAAAAGAGCTGACCTTATAGAGAAGTCCTGGGTAGGACAAATGGCTACTCACTCGACTATGAATCAAAAGATTGGTGGTTCAAACTCAAGCAGAGTCACCTCCAAAGAGAGGCCCGGTGATCTGCTCCTGAAAGGTCCCAGCCCCATCAAAAGGCCTTTGAGTAGATTCGGACTGATGTCAGTCCCGTGTGTTACAGAGAGAACTGATGACATTGGGCCCGTGAGTTGCAGAGAGAACTAATGACATTGGGTCATGTGTTACAGAGAGAACTGATGACGTCGGGCCATGTGTTGCAGAGAGAACTGATGATATCAGGCCCGTGTGTTACAGA